ACATTCATTTTTACAATGTTTGCCTTCCAGAGCAGCTGCTCCATGTGCTGAAGCCCTGCTTCCCAGGAAGTGTCTGAACTTCACCCACTGATGGGAAGTAGAGAATAATTTTTTTGGGTTTTCCTTTTGCTTGTGTGTGCTCAAAATTTTGCTTTTGCTTCAGTAAGCTGCCTTAACCTACAAGTAATTTTTCATCTTATTTTCTCTCCCCTATCCAGCTGGGAAGGGGAGTGATAGGGCAGCTTGGTGGGCCAAGGTTCACCCACCCCTAATGTGTTTCTGGATCTGCAGAAATTTCCTTCCCCTGGTTCATAACGAGGGGGGGGGGAGCAGTGTGCAGCTGGCAGTGTGATGGTTTCCCACCTGTGGAGTGGGATATCTGGATCCACCTACAATCTCAGTCTTCAGAGTTTCAGACCCACCCATCCCACCTCCCAGAACAAATCCCTGGACTGCAGGCTCTCATCTGCACCATGCCACAGAGATGAGCCACAGACAGAGCTCTCCCCTATGAGAGACTGCCCAAGACTTCATGCACTGGCTCTTCTGGCACTAAAGATCTATTCAAACTCATCCAGAGAGCTTTCCAAGAGGGACAGCCCTCACATAGACCCACCAAGATCAAATACTCATAGAAAGCTTTCCAGGTAGGACAGCCCCTGGATAGACCCACCAGGAAGATTTCCCCAAAGCCAAGGTCTTCAGCTTTACAGAGTCTGTAGCTGTAGGCTAGGGAGTCATGCCAAAATTTCCAGACAGTCTCTCCTGGAGCCAAGAGCCTGGAAGAGTAGATATAATCTGGGCTCAGCTCCCAGGTCCACAGCAGGGAGCCTGGAAGCTTGGAGAAGCCTGGCCAGAGCCAGAGCTCTCCAAGCACGCTGGTTCCTTGCTGCAAGGCTGTGACTCAGAGCCTGAGCAAGGGGGACAATCTCTAAGGGTGGGGAAACATCCCAAATGCCAGTTGTCCTCATCTGGACCTAGCTGGACCAGATCATGACTTAGTGAGCTGTGTGCCAGCAGGATGGTGACTGTTGTAGTAGCAGGGCTCCAAATGGTCTCTTCTCTTAGCACTTGGTGGGACAAGGGAAATCTCTGTGTCAAAAAATCACATTTCTATTCAGAACCCTCATGTTTCGGGAGCCTTGCAAGCAGAAATTTATTAGAATTTCAAAATACTCTTTGGGTTATGTCCAGCTTATCCGGAAATCAAATTTAAAAGGTGCATAAATAAAAGTTAGAATTAAAAAAGTGAAAAAAGATCCCTAAAATTTTGAAACATTACCTTTTGCCAGAACAGTATCTGCTCTAGGCATTGATGGAAGGAATTGACTAATTTGAACAAAACAGCTTTTTCCCTACATGTTTTTAAATGAACTGATACAGCAATCCAAAGACAGAAATGTGGGCTGGGTTCCTCACCAGTGTGTGAGTCCAGTTCCACTGACTTCTGGCAGGGTTTCCTCAAAGCAAGTTATTCAAGAATGAGTGCAAAACCCACCAGCTAAATTATTCACAACTACAGTCCCTGCTTTATTAGATTTCATTAGGAAAAAGAAATAAGAGAGAAAAAGTATAATTTATTTTGACTAATCACAAATTCAAATCACTTCTCTAGAAAATGATATGCAAATGGCTCTAGTCAGTTTAATAAGTTTTGGGAGGGAAGCCAGGCATTGATTTGGCCTCTTGGAGCTGGTCACAGTGCAATGGTTAGAGGAGTCAGAGATGCAACAAGCTGGATTTTTAGAAATCCCTGCTGGTGGAGACAGCTGTCTTTGGGACTGACACCCCCTGAAGTCTCACTCACACAGAGGAGAGTGTATTCACTTGATAAGTGGATGTGTTCACACTCTCTCCACTTGCTGCATCGGCTCTGACACGTTGTTATGTGGACACAGTGCTCAGCAAGCTGCAAAAAATCTGTCAGATAAGGTGAGTCCTTCTCTGCTAAGCTCTGCATGGGTCTGGAAACTCTTCCCTTCACTCAGCAAGGAGGGATTAATGGTAGTGACTAATGAAAGGTGGGCAGGGCAGGCTTCCCTTCTTGTTTTTCTGTTTAGAAGTTTTTCCTTCCCACTCTTTGACAGGTCTCCACCACAGTGAAAAATTGTATATTTAATGGAAATGCAGGCTCCACCAGCAGAAAAGAAAGGAGATCTTGTGGGACAAACACAATACTAGGAGGCAGGAGATGTTAGTTCAGGTTCTGGCTCTCCTACAACCTGCCTGTATGATCCCTAACAATTCATCCCATACCTCTGTGCTTCTGTTCTCCTGGTAAATGAGAAAAACAAATCGCAGACTTCCTTCCTCTCTTCAATTTGTTTAGCCTGCAAGACTCCTTGGAGCAGCCCCTGTCTCCTGTTACACATTGATGCAGGGCCTTCCCCAACAGGTTGCAGACTCAGAGAAGATTCCTGAGTGCTACCGTAATAATGAGTCATTTACCCCCAAACTCCCTTAGCAGGTTATTGTAGATAATAAATAAGGGGAAGACTGACCTTTACTGAAAGCTGAAAATTTTCTGAAGATTTAAAAATCAGAGCATGGCAGGACAGGAATGTCAATTCAGCTCCCTACAGAAAGAAAGACAATTATCTCCACTTCAGAGATCGAAAACTGGACAGCAAGAACAAATGATCGTTTCCCAGTTCCCAATCCCCTGTGGAGTTTCTGGGAATTAACCATAAATCTCTGTTACAGAGCTCTTACTAACTGGTTTTCTTCTTTGTATTTCAAAACAAAAAAAGCCAAACATTTCTCCCAGGTTCCCAGCAAAGTCAGAATGAGAGGGTGAAGTATTTTTTCCAGTCCTTCAATTATTTTTTGTTGAGAAATATTTACAAATTCTAAATCTAGTCAATCGTGGGTCATTTTTTATTAAGAAAATGCTAATTTTCTTAGTAGCATTTTTAGCCCAACCACTGGGCTACTCTCCTATTACTCAATGAGGTTGTGATTAACAGAAATGCAGTTTGAAGTCTCTTACCTCACAATACAGGCTGCACAGAGAATGGATTGAAACCAGCCCTGCCAAGAAGGACTTGATGGTGGTGGTGGATGAGAAGCTCGACATGAACTAGAATGTGCACTGGCAACCCAAAAGGTTTATCCTCTCCTGGGCTGTGTCAAAAGCAGCAGGGCAAGGAAGGGGATTCTGCCCTCTACTTGTCTGTGGTGAGATTCCACCTGGAGTTCTGCATCCAGCTCTGGGGGACCCAAAGTATGCAGGACATACAGAAGAGGCCATGAAAGTGCTCTGAGGGCTGGAGACAGACTTGGGATTATTCAGGCTGGAGAAGAAAGGGCTCAGGGGAGATCTTAGAGCCCCTTACAGTGCCTAAAGGGGCTCCAAAAGGGCTGGAGAGGGACTTTTTGCAATGGCATAGGGAAAAAAGGGGAATGGCTTTCAGAGGGCAGAGGTTGGATGAGATATTAGGGAGAAATTATTCCCTGTGAGGGTGGTGAGGCTCTGGCACAGGTTGCCCAGAGAAGCTGTGGCTGCCCCATCCCTGGAAGTGTCCAAGACCAGAGGCTTGGAGCAGCCTGGGATAGTGGAAGGTGTCCCTGCCCATGGCAGTGGGAGGGAATGGAATGGTCTTTAAATTCCCTTGCAACCCAAACCATTCTGTGATTCCATGATCCTGACTCTATAGTAGAATGTGTATATATTTCCATATATGTCTATACATATACTGAAAAACTTATATACTCTGAATTGCAAATGTTTGTCAAGCATGCTAAATATTGTAAATGGAAACAGCTACAGCATTCTTTCCAAATACATGAATAGCCCTTGCTGAATAATATACATGAATCTTGCCTGTGTGCTTAGGCTTCTCCTGTAGATTCATTTCCTGAATAGGGCATCATCTCTGTAGGAGTCACAAGGCATCTTTTACACTGCTAGGTTCCACCACTATAATGTGGTCAGGAACTATGAATTTTTTAGGTACCATTCAGGGGGCATTTTATATGCATATTTCATGAGAAGAGGAGGTGGGAAAAATGTTTTTGGCAGACATTTGCCAGGATATGGATGTGATTCAGAAGAAGATGACTTTTTATACAAGTAGTCAACTCCACTCAATTTAAACCATGGCTCTTGGGAAGCATTTAAAACACAGAGCTTTAATGGACCTGCACTGTAAGCAGCACAGAGCAAACTGTCCAGAGTGTATGTGTGTGTGTATATAAATATATATCTATATTTACATATAGCCAGATGCTCAAGGTCAAAGGCACAGAGGTAGCCCCTTGGAGACTGGAACTATGGAACAGTTTGCTGAGACAACTGGCTGTTCAGAGCTCTGCACCCCTGAGAGGCTGCTCCAAACTAGAATTTGTCCTTGGGGTGAATTACAGGCTTTAAGACACTGCCACAGCACCCATGGCAAGGCACATCTGAGGAGCTCAGGCAGCAGATGCAGAGGAAACAATGGTGCAAGTCAATTTGGGTTTAAAGTGTAAAGTCAGCCATCCCTGTACAGCTGCTCAGGACCCTTCCCACCAGGACACCTCCCTCCCAGGGAGCTCTGATCAAAGCTCTGATCCTTACAAATGGTGCACACACAGCTACATGCTCAGCACAAGGGCAAAAATCCATCTGTGTCTCAAGGCAGCACCTTATGATCAAAACTGGGGGGAGAAAAACCCCTCGTGTGAAAGGCACAGTGCTCAGTGAGAGCACTCAGGAGTATCTGGTGCATGGCATCAGACAGGACTTGGGGATGGCATCGAGAGCTGGGGGAGCTCAGCCTGGAGAAAAAGAGGCTGAGGGGAGACTTCATTGCTCTCTTCAGCTCCCTGAGAGGAGAGTGTAGTGAGGGTTGGTCTCTTCTCCCCGTTAACAAGTGACAGGATGAGAGGAAATGGCCTCAAGCTGCACCAGGAGAAGCTTAGATTAAATATTAGGAAAAAAACTCTTCATACAAAGGGTTGGAAAGCATTGAAAAGGGCTGCCCAGGGCAGTGGTGGAGTCACCATCCCTGCAAGTATAGCCCTGAGATTGGCTTGGTTGGTCAGAGCATGGTGCTGATAACACCAAGGCATGGGTGCTAATCCCCCATGGGAATATATTCACCTAAGAGTTGGACTCCATGATCCTTGTGGGTCCCTTCCAGTTCAGACTATTCTGTGATTCTGTGAAAAAAAAATGTGTAGCTGTGGCAGTTTAGGATGTGGTTTAATGGTGAACATGATGGTGGTGCTGGTTTCACAGTGGACCTTGATGGTGTTGGAGGTCATTTCCAGCCTTGGGAGTTCTATGATTCCATGGAAGCTGAAATCTTGTCTTCTTAAGGTAGTCAGTGGGAACCAGAGGGATGGAGACACACACACATTTCATCACCAAAACTGAGAGAATGACTCCTGAGGACACTGCAAGGCTACAGGAATTCTCATAATCCAATCCTCCTGACCTCCATGTCCAGACTGCTTCCTATCTGCCCCAGGCACTTGGCTTTTGGCCTGGCCCTGAGCAGATTTAGTTTTGCCTTTCAGAACATTTACTATGCAGTCAAAAGAAGGAAAGACATGAAACAGCTTGGCAGTCTGAATACATTATTAACAGATTAATAAGTTATTAACAGATTTTGGAAATAAGTAATCTGAATATAGTTCCAAAGCCTGTATTTGCCCTAACTTTAGGCACACAGTGGAGCCACAAATTAGTAGCATAATTGCCTTCAACTCTTCTCTAATTGAAGAGACAAGCACAGATAGAGGTGATGTGACTCTTAACTGGGCTGGAGGTTTTTGCTCTCCTCTTTTCTTCTTTTCAGTGGAGTATTTTGAATGATCTTTATGTGATTGTTCCTCATTTCAGCCTTCTTGAACTTCCCCAGCCCTGCCATAAAGTGCATCTTGGATGCTCTGAGATATTTCTTTAGAGATTCATCTCTCTTAAACACTTGGACTTATTTTCAGCTCTTCTCCAATCATCACCTTTACTTCATTATTGCTTTAGATCCAACCCAACCCTTTCCTAACTCTGACCAAGTCCAGTTTAACCTCTGTTATCAAATCCAACTGTAATTTTTGTGTGGTAATGATTTAGCAAATCTACTTTGTCTGAGTCGCTTCCCTGAAAGAACTGGGATTAAAATTCTCCATTACTATGAGGTCAAATACACTGCAGGTCAGCCACATACCCTCACTTTCTGGGGCATTTTCTTTTCCCCCCACAAATTCACTCTCAAAAGATGGTGAAAGCAAGTTCATGGGAAGGGAACAGATAAGTGTATTATTAAAATGAGCTGTTAGGATTAGTCCAGTACAGCTTGAGCTTGTTGGTGAGAGCTCCCACCAGCCCCCTCCAGGAGCATCAGAAACCAGAAAGCATCTGCCTTGGGACCAGCCAGCCGTGCCTCCATCCCATGCTGGCGCCTGTCCTGCTGAGAAAGGGGGCTTGTCTTCACTAATTTCATGATGCCACCATTAGAGGAGTGGGAGGCACTATTTCCATGAATAATAATATGCCATGAAGGGCAATCAGTGCTCAAGAGCAACGTCCTTGATGGCTGTCCAGCCAAGCAACCCAAAGAGCTCTCTCCTGACTGCGTAGGAAAAGGAGTTATTGATTTGCACATTGTTGCAGAGGGCAGTTCTTAATCATAATTAAGCCACTGTGAAAAGTCAAAGCATTCAAATCATGCGAGGGCTTTCACCATTGCAATCTGGCATCCATATGTTCAATGGCAACTCAAACAGACTGCTTTAATTTTTCTGTAGGTTTTGTTTTTTTTTTTCCTTCTGAAGACTCAATATCATTTACCCCTTTAAATATGTCAGTTCTGTGATTTTGGATATGCAGCCCCATATTGTCTTTCAGGAGGCTAAGTTAAAACATAGCACTTTATTTTGATACACTGTACAATAAGAAATCATTTCTTTAAGAAAAATAAGGCATGACAGTCACCATTGTGTTGTGAGATATTCCCACAAACTTCCATATTTCAATCTCAATATGGGTTGCTTCAGAACCTGACCAAGTTGCTTAAGTAAATTCTGAATAAAAGTAAGAGGAGCCAAAGATACTTTTAGTTGATTGTTAATCTAGGGCACTGAATATATCCTTCAGATATTTCCAGGCATGGCTCAAATATTTCTAGCTGAAAGGTTTAGTGTTCATGTTCATCTTGGGTTCGGTTAAGAAAATTTGAAAAAAGAAAAAAGCCTAACAAAAATCTCCTCCTGAAGAGTGTCTAAAAGCAGCTGAATTTTGGCAGTGAAGCTCAATCCCTCTCATCAAGGAAAAAGAGCTAATGAGTGAAAGAGGGGGTTCAAGTGCAAATGGGCTGCTCTTGGCCTGGAGTGTATTTATTATAAAAATTATATGTATTTTTCAAATTTTCAGATATCTGAGGTCTGAAATCATCTTACAGTGAGAACAGTAGCAAAATACCTTGGTGGTTTTAGGGGAGAAGACAACCATTTTATGAAAGGGCTAAGACTCTTCCTGACAGAAGGAACAGGATCCCTGAAACTCTGCACCCCAAGTGCCTCCACATGCAGGCCATAGGAATGAAGGAGCTCCTCTAGCTGGTCCTCCCAGCCCCAAGAAATGTCTAAGCCAGGCTCAGAAATCACTTCCTGGACACTCCAGCTTCTTTCCACTGTCTCTTAAGTGATCACAGTGTGTCTAGGTTAGATGGACAGAGCTATGCCAGAGGAGCTAGATGATCTGAATCCCATCAATGGGGCATTATTTAATTTCTCTCTGTTGGACATATCAACTTTTTACCCAAATCTAAAATTGGAAAAAAACTCCATTAATTTTTTCAGTGATTCCGGAGTACGAAGTAGAACTGAAGATGACATCATGTATTACAGGTATTACAGAGGAAAATGTGTCTTAACTTGTCTGAAAATCACTGGAATACATCAAATTCATCAGTTCTGCTTTGAGCCTTTCTGCCCTGCTTTCCTTCAGTTCCCAGGTACCTCCCTAGATGTCCTGCAGAGCACGTACCCCAGGTCCCTGGCTTGCAGAGCTAGCCAGCTTTTCCTCAGCAGCACATCACTCAGCAAATCCAGTAGGAAACAGGAAAACAAATGTCATTTTTTTTGTATATGCTCTTGAATCCCATCCCAATGAGGATCTTCTATTGCCTCTATGAGCTCTGTGAGCAGGGCTGAAATAAGGTCATTGAAAGGATAAGAAAATAGAAATTGTTAACTTATGCCAGCCTAAAAGCCCCTGAAATTTTATTATTTAAAAATGCTAAAATGTGAGGAGATCAGGGACAACTTTTCAATGCAAGAGAATGTTTAGTGATCAAAAGTCTTAACAAGAAAGGGGAGACTTTTAAATCATCTCAGACTATATTTGAATTGGTAAAATAATAAAAACTTGCCACATTGACCATTAGTTCCTTAGAAAGGAAAAGTGAGAAATTTCAGCAATGTGAGACCTTGGGGCCACTGAGGGATTGAAGAGCCCTGAACTAAATTTAAAACCTAAAACTCAGTCCCTTGGGTAGGACTCATGGCAGTGTCTGTTTGGAGAGTGATGCTACGTGACACCTCTCCAGTACATCTCCAGCTCTTCATGGTGATGAACTTCACAAAATAAAACCCTCTCCCTGGAACAAAAAAGAGAGAGCACTTAACCACACAAATTCCTGTATTTATGGTGGTGCCAGCCTGACTTAGATGATGTCTTCATGGCTCTCCAGCAGCTGTCAGACCATGTGTTTCACCACAAGAGCCCTTTACAGCAGTGTATTGGCATGACAGAGTTTTCCAGGATAGATTGGAAGCACCACCTCTTCCATAAGGACTTGCAAACATTGGAAAAGCTGAAAAAGCCTTGTTCTCCTGAAATCCCTAAGGATATAACATTATGCACTACTCCAGCATGGATAACCAAATTGCCTTCCTGATTTCCTCATGTGAAGCCCAAGCAACCCATGGAAAGAGAAAAGCCTCCTCCTGTGTCTTCATAATGAATTACATTTGTTAAGCCTGCTTTAGCAAATTAATTGATTTGATATGACTTAGAAGGACAAAATTTTCCACTTTCTTTTGGCATTTTACTGCCATGCTGCCACATCTAAAAGACTCACTGAGGGCAGAGGAGTTAAAATGAAGGACAGCAGAACTGGCAGCTCCTCTGGCTTCCCATTCCCTGCAAAAACAAGAACCATTCCGCATGGCAGAATCCCCTGTCTTACCCCCAGCCCAAAATGCTATGAATAAGGACCACAGTTCTCTGTTCACTCAGGAATGCCAGATATGAAACCACAATCAAGCTTCGATCTCTTCAGCACAGCATGCTCCACATGCCAATCTATGTTTGTTGAAAAAAAAAAAAGATTCTGCTGGAATAAGTTTCTATTATAAGCTCTCACTGTGTACATTTTTTGGAGTTAGTATATAATTCCTGCAGCAGAAACCAATATCTTTTCTGTTTTACAACTGCACATAAATACAACTGCCTTCCATCTAAAAAAAAATAAATATTCACAATGTCTGTTCAGTTTGCCTTCTCGCAGCATCTCTCTCCCTCTGCCCAAATATAATCACACTTTCTAACCCAAATCACTCATGGGGGGGGCGGGGAGAGCCAAACAAATCTCACATTCATAAACTCAGATGACAGCCACCCTGAGCCATGGGAATAGCAGGGAATTTATTGGAGCCCAGTACAAAGCAACCGGAGTAAACAGCAACTTCCAAAGCAGGCAAAGTTATTTGGAGCAGCTCCAGCATGCAAATGGCAGAGACACTGATAGCTGAGGCAATTATTATTTCCTTTCCCCACACCCTTTTCCTTTTTGCAGCTTGGCCAAATGAGTTTTTCTGCAGATGCTGGAGGCACTAGAATCGGATGAAAATGATGTCGTTTTCTATGGTTGCCCTCAAGTTGTCAATACAAGAATGAAAAAAATTTCCAGCTTGCCCATCACTATGAATTCACGGTGGGAATAGTGTTTATACCTATAATAAGTTCACTGCATCTTGGTTTCTTCTTGGAATTGGTGAAGCAGATTGTCAGAACAAGTGATTTGGCTGTGTGGAGCAAATAGGAAAAGGGCCACTTTGGAATTAATTTTTTTAAAATAACTGAG